TTTTGTCAACTCATTGGCCACTGCAAGCAACTTCCCTGGAAGGATGTCAGCCTGGGACAAATACATTTCCATACACTGTCAGGATGAATTTCACTTACCAAGAATTGCAGCAACGTGAATTTGAACTCGCTTGACTGATGGACTAGGTAGAAAAAGCTATTATTTTACAAATACTGGACAGACTAGTCTGTGAAAATCTTTAATTACTATTATTATGGTTTACTGAGTCTGCTTGGGCTCCTACACTTCCCTGTAGTTTTAGCTGAGTCCACTCAAATTCTATTATCTGAGGAGGTTTTTCCACACAACAACAGACAGATCATCCCTAATAATGCTCAAAGTTATCAGCTTGACAGGCACCACCTTTTTATTCTCTTTTTATTTATTTTTCAGCTCAGAGTATAACACAAAGCAAGCTAAGCCTCTTCTACTTCTGCCTCTAATGAGGTAGAAATCATCCCTGGGATGAGGACTCAGAAATGATATTAAATCAGGGTGGGGGGAAATGTGGATGAGCTCTTTAGCTAGGCTTTCTACAGTGCCACCAGCACCCACTAAACCTTCCCCCTTTTTTCTCAACTGACAGCTGCTTCCCATCATTTCTGTATATTTTTGCTAGGTTAAATGTGTATATACATGAAGTAAATCTATCACGCAGCTGAATCTGCCTTGAGTTCTCACACAACTACAGATGCAAAATACTGTACTTCTTACATGGACTGAACTAGGGTAGCTCCAGCTGAGCTGACCTCAGTATGCATTTGGACTGAAACAGGTTAGGGAGTCACTGTCTGATGCTTTCTGCCCCATGGTATGAATGAAACCTCCAGCTATACACCACAGTGTCCAGAAGACACTTCTGGTATAGTGAGATCACAGAATCATACAAACATTAAGGTTGGAAAAGATCACTAAGATCATCATATCAATGATTCACTCATTCCCACCATGTCCACTAATCATGTCCCTTAGTGCCACAATTCCACAGTTCTTGAGCACCTCTAAGGATGGTGACTCTACTAACTTCTTGGGCAGCCAGCACCAGTGAATTATCACTCTTTCAGAGAATAAATTCTTCCTAGTATCCAACCTGAACCTCCCCTGGAGAAATCTGAGGCCAAACCCTCTTGTCCTGTTACTGTCACGGGGGAGAAGAGACTGACCCCCACCTCTCTACAGCCTCCTTACAGGCTGTTATAGAGAGCAATAAGGTCTCCCTTGAGATCCCTCTTTTCCATACTAGACATAGCCAGTTCCCTCAGACAATCCTCATAAGACTTGTACTCCAGATCCCAGATACCACAACACAGTGTAAGCATGCATCAGTTCCAGCTGTCACCCTTTACTTGGCCAGTGCTCTTTGTCTGCTTGTATGACTCATCCCCAAGCAAGTCCAAGAAAACATAACAAATGGCCTCCCGTATTCTTCCCAGAGAGGATGCTCACAGCAGATATGTATGTATACATATGTATATACATACCTGCATAAACACACACACATGCACGTAGTCTTCAGGAGTAGAAAGAAAAAAATCCACATAAACTCTACATTTTCCCGTTTTTTTTCCCATTCCAATCTCTAATTATTCAGCTATAAAATGCCATCCTTATTTTCACAGCCATCCTTAGCAGGTAAAACATTTGAAGCTGAAGTGTTATCTTAAAAGTGGAAAGGAGGAGGACCTCAATGCTACGCTTAAACCATCCTAAATTCAAATGTCAGCTCTCTAGGAGACCTAAAATGCATTACTTGGGCTCTAAGAAGTTAAAAGGAAAATAAAAAAAACCCCACAACTTTCTACTTCTCTGGCAAATTCTGAGGATTAAGATGCTAAGAATTATGAGTTCTTCAGTAATACCTTTCTTCATCACAAAGATCTGGTGAGATTAGATGACTAATTTACTTGCTGATGTGAAAAATATTCAAGTTCAAAGGATTTTTCTTGTCCTTACCTGAACTCTCACTGAAGAGAAATTTTTCAACTGAATAATGACTGCCTTAAAACCAAGTTATAGGTCTCAAGGGAAGGGCATTTAGGGTTTTAATTCTCAGCAGTCACGTCTAATTCCTCAGTGAAAAATACCATGACACCAGAAGAATGAAACTGGTTACTTAGATTGAAAACAAGCTGAACATTTGTCATAAAGAACAGCTTAAAAAGGTAGGGAAAAAGCCAGCAAGTTATAAAGTACAAACTAACCCAGCAGCTAACGGAAGAAAAAATAAAATCACAGGTCCATGGGATTCATTTTTCTGATAGATTTTCTGCTTCTATCCACTGCAATTAATTTGGTCAGATGATTTGCAACAGGCTTATTTCTCTTGATCCCCAAGAGTCTTAAAGTTATAAGGCTGGGTAACGATCTTCAGCCCCAGAGAGGCTTTTCCATAGTTATGAGAGCACTTGCTGGCAAAGCAGAGTGATTTTCATCACTGGCTTGACTGGATTGAATCAGCAGAGATTACTTAAAATCAGAGACCTGGAACCTCTCAGGGGTTTTGTGACAGCCTATTCCAAAGTCTGGCATTGTTCAGCTCAAGAAAACTTCTTTTATGGAATTTCCCATGGAAAGCCAGTCTAATTGTAGATCAAGAAATACACCTTGTTATGCTCTGGAACCCTTACCAACAGGGAAACTAGTGATCTTTCCTGAATAATAATTTTTCTAGAGATGAAGAAATAAGTCAAATGCTCTAATATTGCAAAAGCAAGAATTCTTATGTGAAATTGAATATAGAAATATTGGGATTCTACAAGAAAATCCCTTGGAGCAAGATATTGAACTGGCTTCTGTGCATTTCTCAGCTTCCTGCCTTGTGCCTAATAGATGCATGTCCCACAAATGCCTCCAAGCAAGCGATGATTACTTCATCATGAGGCTGACAGTGTTCAACAAGACCCAAACGGATGTGGCAGAGGTGGTCACTTTTTGCTGCACCAACATTTCTGCTGCTGTGCCCCTCTCCTGTATTGTTCATTAGATCTTTTTCAAGCATATTTCTGAAAAGGACCTGAAATAAGTTGTATATGAAGCAAGCAAAACTTTTGTAAGCACTGCAGCAATGTCAGAAGGTAAGAACTTATTCTCAAAACAGCCTTATTCTCACATCCAAGGGGATATCTAGGTACCAAACACCTGTTTTGTGGAATCCACATGGATATCGGTGGCAGAGGCAGTGAGCGCAATGATAGCCCAGAGCACTCGTGAGGCTCCCAAGGGATGGCAGATGTGGGCTAACACTGCCAGTGCAATGCTCTGTACAAAAAGTGCCGCAGCTCAGTGGATTAACTGTTCTCATTAGAAACCCAGGGCACTTTTGTATTATTCCTACACGAATTTGAGTTTCATTCAAATCCAAATGCTCACTCTGCTAAGATGAATCACGCTTCATCCGTTCTCCATTGTTGCCAGAACTCATTTTCCCTATTGTTCTTCTATAAATTAGAGTAATTCATTCAGAAATGAAATTCAGTCCTATACAAAGGCCTTGGCAAACCTAAATGCTGTTGAAGGAAAAACAATGGATGCTAGCTCTCCTAATATAGGGAATTTCACTGTAACTTCTTTTGGCCAAGTTTCATAATTAATTTTGAAGCAGCCTCATTAGAAGCAATCTCTGCGCTTTAGTCCACCTTAAGTATAAAAAAAATAGTAAAAATGTACTGTTTTCCTCCTTTTTCTTGCTTATTTTTGTCTAACTGTTAATAGTTTTAATTAACACCCGAGTTTCTCAGCAGCACACCATCTCCTCCTTTTTCATTACAGGTGTTAATTGCAGATTCAAATAAAAGATGAAGAAATTGAGGTAAACGTCAAAAGAAGTGCAACACTGCTGGATGTGCAGAAGGAAATTACTTGCACAGTTGTTTTATTTGGGCTTTGCTTGTTGTATAACAAAGTCTTACATCTACTTTATGTATATATGTATGTATAAAGAGACATACATCCTACCTATGTGTATTGTTTTTTGTAATGCATTTCAAGCTATTTTCTTTTTTCCAAATATATATTTGTTTTTATTCAGACACACCATGTTCAGAACGGCTCACAGTCAGACCCTAAGGACACAAGTCTATGTTTTTATTATCAATATTGATTTTGGAAGATTTTATCAGTAGTTAGCCTTGTACAGACCAAATTTTGAGGAGTTCTAAAATCTTGATCTAATCAATATCAGTTACCTCTGTGTAAACCATGCAAATGGTTACATATGCATGAACAGCAATGCTTTCCACTTCACGGAGCTCCACTCATGGACACAAAAGAAATCAATGCAACAAAAGTGCAGCAGACAGCTTGAGGTGGAAATCTCTCTAATTTTCCTACCCTGCCTTGCCAGAACTTGCAGATCATTGCCCCCATCCTTGTTCTAAGCCATGGCAAGAACAAGACCGTAGCATAATTTGTCTGGTGTTTGATGTGTCTTCAAGGTGCACTGTGTCTCCAGTGTTATCTTTCCTTGCATTTTCCAAAACGTAAAAGTCCATTAACTCCCAGCTAAGTGGAGACTCTGTTGTCCTGGCCAGACACCTCCATGCCCCACCAACACAGCTCTAACATCACCCTGAAGCCCTGTACACCACATATGGTTCAGATGGGACCCGCCCAGCCATGGTGATGAGTGAAGGAAGTTTCTTCTCCCTGCTTGCCAGAGAGCATGGGAAGAACGGCTGGGAGCTCAGAACACTCACCTGCATTGACAGTAGTCATTATCTGCCAGGTAATGATGAAGCACAGGATTTTTAATATTCTTCTATATTAAGTTCATAATTTTAGATAATGAAGAAAACAGACATCTAGTAGATCACGACATGTTCCTTACCTGCCCAGCACTGAACCATGAAGTGCATAAATATTCATAAGAGCATTGTCCATACTAAATTTGAATGATACAGTAGTCTCCATTTTATAGCTTCCATCTGTACTGCTCTTGCCCTAAGTCATACTGTCCTTAGTATTCATGACACTTAAAATAACTAAGACTTATTTATTCTTACCTCTAGTCAGATTTTTACTCATTAACATGCAGGTATATCTTCATCTACAAGCTCTGTCATTCTTTATTTCCTTAGAAATCCTTCCAGTTTTCATTCTGCATCACTTTTCCTTCTGTGTCCCACTGAAAAACAAACAGTCAAATCAAAACTCACATGTACCGCATGTTACATGCGCATGTGCCTCGTGCTGAGTAAAACACAGTAATTACCAATAATGGTATTTCAACCTACCTAATGTCATCTCTAAAGAAAACAGAACCCTAAAAAAGAAGAACTGTGGATGAAGGAAGAGTGTTCAACAAAGAATGGACAGATGAGTACTTTGTTGTCGAGACAAACAATAAGGCGCTATGCTTAATTTGTAAGGAAGTTGTGTCAGTTTTCAAAGATTACAGTTTGAGAAGACATCATGTGCAAAAACATGCTGCCAAATTTGATGCGTATCAAGGAATGTTTTGTAAAGACAAAATAGTGAAACTGAAAAAAAGTGTCATCTCAGGAGAATCTTTCAAAAAATGTTACAACTCAAACTCTAAGCTAGTTAGGAGGCAGCAAGTCTGACTGCAAAAGAATCAACTGTTTACTGATGATGAGTTTATCACACAATAACAGAACTGCAGGGGTTGGAAGGGACCTCCAGAGATCATCGAGTCCAACCAATTATCAGGCAAAGTATGGAAAGCATGGGTGATATTATTTATCCTGACAAAATAAATAAATAAATAAATAAACCAAACAAATAAAAAAACCCCAGATTTTTCTAAAATCAGTCTTACCAGACTACAGCCAGGCCAACTGAAGAAACAGGAACAGATATCAAAGGTGATTTGGGGACTAAAGTTGCTAATTTCAAATTTTACACTTTGGCAACAGATGAGACTATTAATGTTACAGGTGCATCTTAACTTGTCATTTTTATTAGAGGTATTGGTAACGAATACAATGGCTACTCTGGTGCCATTAAAAGACACAATTAAATCTCTTGATTTATATGGAGCAGTAAAAATTACATTACAGTGATTTTCTTTAACTTTATCAATATATCTGGTGTAGCTACTGATGGAGCACCAATGATGATTGGTAAAAAAATAAAAATAAAAAAAAAAGAGACTTCTCAAATTAATAGAAGGCATAAAGAGGAAATAGAAGGAATAGAAGTTGCACTGGCAACTCACATTTGATGAGATGTCACTGCATTGGACATCAAGAAAATTTATGTGTGAAAGCTTTAAAAATGGATAATGTTGTGCAAATCATCATCAAAGCTTTGAAGTTCATAAAATCTGAGTGACTGAATCATCCCAAATTCCAGGAGTTCTTTAGAAGTATGGATACTGATTCTAGGGACATCATTTACTTCTTTGAAGGAAGGTGGCTAAGTTGAGGTAAAAGCCTAAAAAGATTTTACGATTACCGAACTGAAATCAAATCATTTATAGAATCCAAAGGAAAATTTGTGTCAGAACTTTAAAATTTAAAATAGCTCACAGATTCAGTTTTTTTTGGTGGATTTGATTTAAGTGTGCTTTTTAAATGATTTAAGTGTTCCTATTGAAGGTAATAATCAACTTATCTGTGCTATACTTCAAATCATAACTACATTTGAAATGAAAGTTTAATTATGGCAAACTTGAGTTATGGCAAAAAATTTCATGCAGAACTACATTCTGTGAACAGTGAAAACTATGAAGCTGTACTTTCTGTTTTGATAAAGGAATTTGAGAATAGTTTGTAAGAGTGCTGAAAAGATCATCAATTTTTTGTTACATCTGCAACTCCGTTTTCAGTCAACATAAAGAAATTGCCTGGGAATTTTCAAATGGAACTTATAGCACTGCAGTCAGACATTCAACTCAAAGAAAAATTTGATCATGTCTCTTTACTGGACTTTTATAAGCCCTATCTTATCAGAGAGAAACATCCCTTGCTTCACAATCATGCCTTATTTTATGTCATTGCTTTTTGGCAGTACATTCATTTGTGAATATTTTCCAGGATGAAAGTATTAAAGCATTAGATCAAAAATCTCTGGTGAGTACCTTGAAAATTCAGTAAGAATTGCAATCACTTCCATTGAAACAGATATTGATGCATTAGCTTTGCAAAAACAAGGTCAAAATATCCCACTCATCTTATTTTTTTGTTGCCCTCTATTTATTTACGTTTTAACAAAAAACCACAAGAAAATAAAATAAGTTTGGTTACTTATAAACGTAACTATATTATATAATTCATATATGGCCCAAGACAATTCCTCTTCACTCAATGCAACCCAGGCAAGCCAAAAGTTTGGATACCCTTGGCTTAGGGGATCTCCATGGTTCAGATGGCTTTCATAATCCAGTGTTTTCACTTGTGCTAGAGAAAGGATTCTGCATTGCTAGTTCAGATCTAGGCTATAGAATGATGACATCTTTCCATATCCCTGTCTCTGTATGACTGAATTTCACCTAAAAAAATCACTGCTTTCTATTTTTCAAAGCCAAGTTTCTTTATAATTTGTGTATATGCATTACATATATTCAACACTCCCTCCCAACCCCCATTAGTACATTCTAATTTGTGTTATTCTGTCGCAACAAACTCCTTTTCTTTCCTCACTCCCCATTCCAGTCCAATTCTCCACTCCCTAAGAGAAACTGCAATAATTTGCTAGGAAATCCCTCAGGAAAGGTTCACTTGATTTAACTACAGCATTTTGCAAACCTTTCCAATTTAAGCCCTTGAAAAGAGTCTCAGGAGGAATGCTGCTACACACAGCCTCAATTTTTCTCAAAGAAGTCCTTGTCTGCCCATCAGATGCTCAGTTCATATTTGCTTTGGTCCTCAACTACGCCTTCATAACCCATACGCTCTCCTTTTCCTCTGCATTCCAAGTAAAGCAGCAGATCACTTACGCCCCTTAGTTCCTTCACCATCTTCTTCAGCCAGTACACAAAGAGCAGAAGCTGAGATCTGGGAGACATTTGCACAGGCAGGAAAGTTTGCAGAGGTTGTAGCATTTGGGGCACAGGCTGGCAGCTTTGATGAGCACTGACGGCTAGATGACAAAACCCCATTTGGCTCACCACTTGTTTCCCTCTGCTTTTTCACTAATCTAGCTTTATACTTCGTTCCTTCCACTTGCTTTCTGCTTTCAGCTGTTGAGTCCTCCCCTGTGAAATGCTGCTCTCCCTTCATGGATTTTCTTCTTCAAGGTTTAGTTTTTCTTTCCTTTTTTTTTTTTTTTAATTTTATTTTAAATTTCCATTTTTCCTAAAGGAACTAAGACCTATTCTGCTTTAATCACTGCTCCAGTTAGCATCCTCCAGCCTTCTTCCAGCCCCTTTCATTTTCACTGCTTCCTCCCAGTGGAGCTGGCCCGCTCAATTCCATAACTCCCTCAAGTTTACTTTCTTAAATGTACTGCGGTGTGCATAATTCATCTCTAAATCGAATTTGTTTCCTACAGGGATAATCATACAACCTTCCTTAGCATGCCTTTGAATCGGTTGTTATCCTTTCCTTCCTGGTAGTTCCATCTATAAAGATATATATTTGAGGCAGGAAAGCTACAGGACAGAATAAAACCAGGACTACCTTTAAATCTATTGCTTTTTGTTTTCCTCACTCTTAAAATGATGAGCTAAGTGGCTTATCACATTAATTTTTTGAGCCATTAATAGTGTAGAGTCTAATTTAGAAGCAAAGCTAACACATAAGTAAACCAAGCAGCACAGATGACAAAATTATCACACCTTCTCTGGTACTGGCAAGCAGAGTGAGGGCTGAGCGTTTGCACATGTGGCTTACTTGCATTAGTGTGAGAACAAGGACTTCGGGAAAAAATATACTGCATTTTATTATTCAAATTGGATTTGTTTTTGTGTCAATTCATATGACACAACATACATTTTTGGGGAACACGCTTACATGCATCTCTGACATGGACTTATCTTTCAAATTATCACAGAAGAAACAGTGATGAAGAGCATCCATGCAACTGTGCTGCCTTTACATGTGCTTACTTCAGAGTGAAGGATAAGAGAGACAAAACCAACCCAAACAGACAGAAAACAGAGCATGACTTTTTCTAAGATATATACATGAAGAGTTTCCTACAGCAGAGCCACATCCCTGGGCTTCACGCTGCTCCTAAAGTACAAAAAACATATATACAAAGTACCTCATATATCAGCTTGTTGGATTTTATTGCAAGAAATCCATCAGCCATCATATTACAATGCAAATCCTCTTACTGCCTTGACTGACAACAGCATTTCAGAAATATATGTGTTTTAAAAAACAATATTAACCTGGAAATAAGTTATTTCTTTCATGCATGTCACCAGCTCCCATTAACAGTAATGAGGATTTCTGTGCAGGAAAGTAAGAATGGACTGCTCACTCGTTTGCCTTACTTAGGAGGGTAAGCTGTGAGTTGCACACATATATATGTGTGTGTGTGTGTATATATATCTTGAGAGATTAAAGCAGGAAGTCAGGACAAAAGAAAAAGAATCCCAACATGCATACACATACACACACGACCCACTAAGAATTGCAATATTTCCATTAAGGAAAGCAGAATTATGTATCTGCTTGCTCTCTGGTAGCCTCCTGAATCAATGGGACACAGTCCCTCTTAGCTCTGCCCTGATGCTGTGGGAAGGCAGCCGCCAGCCAGCAGCTGGGAGCAGGACAGAGCTGCAGCTAGTGCACATGGAATACGCTGGAAACTGAGAAAACTGCAATCATTCTTTGCCTTGGAAAATGTAATTACTCTGCATATGTAATTTCCCGATCATAAATTTCAAATCTTTTTCTCTGCTGCAGTCTTTCATAAAATGGATTTCTTTTGAATTCTGTATTTAAATCACAGTCATTCAGCTCCAAAAAGCTCCAGAGATAAAGGCTATTTTGTGGTCTTTTCTCCCTCTTTCTGTACAGAAGTCTTCATATCTTCCTCTCTTTTTAAGAGCAAAGTAAAGAGTGGTTACCAACATTAAACTCCATCACTTAAATATTACATAAAGTAGCAAGCCTGCTGGGGTTTTTTTGCTTGTTTTTTTCTTTTTTTTTTTTTTTTTTTTAATTTATTACATTTCCATGGTTTAGGGTATTCTTATCCTCTGCCACTACA